AAATCGAGAAAGAAGGCTTGCAGGTACCTCTGAAATATATTTGCTTTCAAAAATAGTTTGTGTTTAGTGAAAAAATAAAGGTTTTTTTCTCATGGCGAACAATTTTAAATTCGGCGCCATTTTGGTTGCTAGCGAAAGACGTGCATAGCAACATGGATTGGTCGAGTAGTGGCCTGAAACCTAATGTCCACAACGAAACAGCCGTGCGCGCGAATGAGAATCAAAACAAAGGGTTGAAAAGAAAGGAGAGGAAAAGCTATAAAGAATTGAATCTGCGTTCCTTAAGCCTTGTGCGAACACAAAATGAAAATAAATTATTATTATTGTTATTATTCCTTTATTGCACGAAATAAGAATATTACAACTCTATTGCTGGTATACATTAACCTTCAGCTCGAGATTCTACCCGGCTCCTGAGAGCTGAAGTACTCTTCTTAAGATGTGTGCCGTGCCTAAAAGTACAGATTTCTGTAGGTCTAACAAGCTTATACTATCAAGTTCTAGTCTCTAAACATGATCCTTAATAAAAACAGCGAAATGTGATTCAGAACAAAGGGTTGAAAATAAAGGAAAGAAAAAATATAAAGAATTGAAACTGCGTTCTTTAAGCATGTGCAACCGCGAAAGTAATTTTATCAGACTTACATATTACATTATTTTTTTTATTTTTTATTTTTTTTTAGCAAATAGACATCAGTTTCTTATGTGTCTGTCCTCTTATTGACGATAAATTGCGTCATCACTTTGACAATGCGATAAAATTATAAAGACATCTTATTTTTTAGCAATCAAAACGACCAACGGAAAGAGCGCGCGCATGTTGAGGTCAGCTTTATCTGTCTGTCCTTTTAATGTTGATAAAAAATAACCAATCAGCGCGCGAGAAATGTGTAAGTTATTGTAAAATAAAACATTTATTGACTGCAGACGGGTCATATTACCTTAGGGTAGGCCTGTGCAGAATATTAACCACTAGTCTTATCCGACTGACTTTAATTCTACGAACAT